CTTATCTATATGCCTACTGCAATCTAGATGCTGGTTCAGTGAGAACCGCCAGGTAGACTCATTGGCAGAGGTAGTTCTCTGAAATCGCCCAGAAGTAGACTTCTCATGAAGCAAGGTAGACTTTGTATTAGGGAAAGTTTGGCCTCAGAAGAGTCTGAAGGACTGAGTCATGGTATCAGCCTCTCTTCTCATGGTCCCGATGGGCGACAACCCTAATAACTGCCCTGGATGGTGTAATTCTCTTCCTTCTGACATTAAATGTAGGTCTCCATGGATGATAACCCTGATTTCAACTATTGCTGCCCACCTTGATTCTTACCTTCCTGATGCTATAAATTAGCCCTTGTGTAATTAATGCATTAATGTCATTCATACAAAAGAGGCTTGGGGCCATAAAATTAATGGTAATGAGAACTCAATATGATTCCATCCCAATGGAAAAATTGAGTCAATGATTTGACTCAAATGGGGGGGAGTGAAATAGGCCCTGAGAGGAGACTTCAGCTAGTACAGCTTCTTTCCCGGCTTTGCCTTTGTTTTAGGGATTTTAGGGGAAAAAAACCCTCTAAACAAGGTTAACTCGACCTTGGCTCCATCCAGCCCAGTTCTTGGAATGGAAAGAATGCCTCTAGGTCCCCCTCCCCTTTACAACTTAACCCACCTTCATTGTTCAGTTAAGGACTAACCGATTAAACAGATGGGTTGTAATCTGGCTCATACTGGTGACTCCACCTATTGGCTACCTGTGTGTGCTCTGGTATGACCATACAATCCTTTGTGTGTGTTACAGTTATGATCCCATTGGTCACCTGCGCATGACCAGGCTCGACCTTGTGAATTTTGCCTTTGAAAACCTAAGTACGTGGGCTGCTCAGGGTCGCAGTATCAGCTCCCGAGCCTGTGCTGCAGCCCTGGCTGGTGAGTGTAGGAACCTTCTCAATAAAGTTGCTTCTTTATTAACAACTTTGTTGCTGTGGGCTCTGTCACTCTGGACGACTAGGTGGGCTTGCCTACCTGAGTAGGGGTCTTCCTACTACACCAGGACAATGTGATGGGTGAGCCTCCATGGGGAGACCAATCCAAGCTACTCACAATCCCTCTATACAATGTTGGCTGGTCCATTCAGCCCTTTTGAGGAGGCTGACTTCCTGGAGGAAGAAGTGTGTGTCCCCCAACCCCCATCCTTTATGGTGAGGTAGGAAGGCCCGCCTGTGATATCCCTGCACTCAGCCTGTCCTTCCCAAAATTTGTTTCTTAGTTTATCTTCCATTATATACTTATATTTACACATATTTATATTTACATATATTTACATACATTATACATTTATATTTATATTTACATAATGATGCTTCCCATCCTGCCTCCCCCCCTCCCACTTCTTTTTTACTCTTTGACACAGTAGTTTGCCTCACAGCCTGTGCTGGCCTCCCGATTCCTGATCTTCTCACCTCAGCCTCCAGTTGCTGGGATTACAGGTGAGTCTGGGATTACAGGTGAGTGCTACCAAGCTCAGTTTCTTTGATGTTTGTCAGTATTTGGTGTTTCCTTCTGCACCTGTTTGCAGTTTGAGTGTTTTCCATCTCTTTTTTGCAACACTGTATCTCTCTCAGCCTCAGGTATTGCTCTCATCTTGCAGTCATCTTCATTTTATTTGTGAAAAGTCATCATTTTGATACTTCTTTGACTTTGTTATTAGTAACAAATGTAATAATAACCCATGGGAACCCAATGCCTTTTTAAATCTCTAGTGTCATTCTATTAATCTCCCCCATTTATTCTCAGTCCAGTAATTACTGCTTATTTGCATTTGGTAGAATTTAATGGTGTTTGATTTTTTTTTTATCACTTCCAGTTTCTGTGTTTGTTACATCCTTCTCATTTTCCCCCCTAGTCCTGGAGCTTGTATTCAGTGCCTGGGTACACTGTCCCTCGGCTTTCTTTCTTTCTTTATTCTTTTTTTTTTCAAATTCAAGACTGACAATTCTATCACTTGAGCCACAGCACCACATCCAGCTTATTGTTAGTTAATAGGAGATAAGAGTCTCACAGACTTTCCTGCCCTAGCAGGCTTGGAACTTTGATCCTGAAATCCTTTGATCTTAGAGTCTCAGATGATGATGATGAGGATGATGATGATGATGATGATGATGATGATGATGATGATTTTTGCCAATCCTGTGGACTGAACTCATGGCCTGGGCACTGGCCACGAACTTCTTTCTTTCTTTCTTTCTTTCTTTCTTTCTTTCTTTCTTTCTTTCTTTCTTTCTTTCTTTCTTTCTTCTTCGTTTCTTTTTTTTCTCAAAGCTAGCACTCTACCACTTGAGCCACAGCACCACTTCCAGCCTTTTCTGTGTATGTGGTACTGAGGAATCGAACCAGGACTTCGTGCGTGCTAGGCATGCACTCTACACTGAGCCACCTTGCCCGCCCCAATCAGAAGCTCAGATTTTTGATTGGCTGAGATTACAGGCATGAGCCACTGGCACCTGACTGCATGGTGGGATATTTAGGAGTGATTTTTACTTCTCTCTTCTGCCTGTCTATAGCTCCACACCACATTGTGAGAACTATGTTTGTTTCCCTTCAATGCACAGCCGGATTGGGAAAGGCAAACAGTGGCTCAAACCATATCTTTGTGTGATAGGAGGCTTTTTTCCTCTCTCTCTTTCTCTCTCTCTGTCTCTTTCTCTCTCTCTCTGTCTCTCTTTCTCTCTTTTTGTGTCCAGTCGTGGGGCCTGAACTCTGGGCTTGGGCTCTGTACCTCAGCTCTTCAGCTCAAGGCTAGAGCTTTACCACTTGAGACACAGCACCAATTCTGGCTTTTTTCTTTTTGCTTATGTGGTGCTGAGGAATCAAACCCAGGGCCTCAGGCATGCAAGGCAAGCTCTCTACCATTGAGCCACCTTCCCAGTGCCATGGATATAATATATTCTCTTGTAGGGTATTTACCCTCCTGTCATTTCTATGCCCATACTTGAGGTTTCAGTGGCATCCTAGCGTGACTCAGTGAAACACAGTGGAACCCTGGAGGTCTTCCTCCTCTTCCCATTGCCATTCATTGTATGGACTCGAATATGAGAATTTCACAGTATCTGGCAGGTGCCGGTGGCTCACACCTGTCATTCCAACTTCTCAGGAAGCTGAGGTGTGAGGATTGTGGTTCAAAGTCATCTATGGGCAGGCACATCCATGAGACTCTTGTTTCCAATAAACCACCAGAAAACTGGAAGTGGCGCTGTGGCTCAGAGTAGTAGAGTGTTATCCCTGAGCAAAAGAACTCAGGGGTAGCACCCAGGCCCTGAGCTCAAGCCCCACCACTAACAAAAAAGAAAAGCTGAAAATGGAGCTGTGGTTCATATGGTAGAATTCTGGGCTTGTGCAAAATAGTCCAGGAACAGCCCCCTGTACCCTGACTTCAAGCTATAATAAGGGCACCCCACAAAAAAAGACTATATTTATATATTGTCAGTCATAGGGCTTGAACTCTAGGCCTGGGCACTGTCCCTGGGCTCTTCAGTACTCTAGCACTTGAGCCACAGCACCACTTCTGGCTTTTTCTGCATATGTGGTACTGAGGAATGGAACCTGGGGCTTCATGCATGCTAGGCAAGCACTCTAACACTAAGCCACCTTCCCAGTCTATAAAGTAGTTTTTCCCTGTTTTATCAGCAGCTGGAGGGATGGTCATCCAATGAACACATCTGAAACATATCACGATCACACTTCTGCATGACCCCATCTTGGTGCTCTTCCTCCTCTTTGAGGTTTTCCTTGGCTTCCTGGGGAATTCGTTGCTCTTCTCGTGGTCAGTGCACAGCTGCCTGCACCAGCCGGCCCCGAGGAAACCTCTGGACCTCATCCTGGCACAACTGGCGCAGACCAACGCCTTGAGCACTGTGTTCAGGCTGACCCAGGACCTCCTGCCCCTCTTGGGTGTGGGGGGACCCGGATCCCTTTTCTTTTTCTGTTTGACCTGGGCTGCTGGGCGCTGCTCTATGCCTACAGTGTAGCCTGCGCCCTAAACATCTGTACACTGTTGCTTCTCACGGCCTTGCAGGTGGCCAACCTCCATCCCGGCCACCTCACGTGGGCCTGGCTGCAATGCAAGGCTCCTTCCTTCATCTTACCCACTTGCCTCTCCTTCTGGATCTTCAACTTGCTCCTCTACCTCCCTGTCCTGAATTGAGGCCCCGGCCAGGCAATTATTCTGGCCCTGCAGCTTCTTTCCCTAGGGCACTCTGTGAAAGCGGCCAGCTGCGCCGTTACCACACCTCCACGATGCTCTTGTATGTCCTGATCCTGCGAGATGCCTTCTGTGTGGGCCTCACATTTACCGCAAGCCTCTACATGGTGACATTCCTCTACATGCATCGCCACACAACCCGGCACCTGCACAGCCGTGCCCAGGTGTCCCCGTTGCAACGTGAGATCAAAGCCACCCACAGCATCCGCACGCTGGTAGCCTTCTTTGAGGGTGTATTTGGCTTGAACAGCTTTGTCACTTTTTACTCGTTTTATACACCGCAGGAAAACCCAGGCTTGGAGAAGATGAGCAAGATCCTGTCATCCTGCTATCCGACCATCTGTCCTTTTGGCCTGATGAGGCACAGGAGAGTGATTTCCAAATTTATCGGTTCATTTTCAAAGATGCGAATTTCCTTGACCGAGAGTACATGCTGCTGCTGATGGGTCACCCCTGAGAACTGCTGTTGGGCACATTAAAGGGGTGTATGTGAGCTTTTGGGTTTTTCACTAGGGATGAAGTGATTCATGCTGTTGTAGTAGTACATGTGTGTGTGTGTGTGTGTGTGTGTGTGTGTGTGTGTGTGTGTGTGTGTACCCTAGGGCTGGAACTCAGG